CTGTTGCCTCCTCCCAACCCCTCTCCCAGGTCAACCCATACCCGTTCCCACACCCAGCCTCAGCCCCCTTCCCATGGCATTCTTCCCCTCAGGGAGGTGGCAGGCGTGGAAGGGATTGTCAAAGTCCATGTGCCTTTCTCTCTTGGAGATCTTTCTCAACTAGAGTGAAAAATTGGTTCCTTTTCCTCTAATCCTACTCATTTCATACAATAGTTTAAATATATTACTCACAGCTATGATCTAACCTGGCATGATCTCTTTATGATTCTCCAGTCTACCCTCACCCCTGATGAGAGACATAGGGTCTGGACAGAAGCACAGGAATATGCTAATGAGCTTCATTCTACTAACCAAGCTCACCCTATTGGCAGTAAGGCAGTTCCCCTTCAGGACCCTGGGTGGGATTACCAACCCCCACCAGGAGGTCAGACAGGACCTTCCCCAGGTAGAGCAGCCAGGGACCACATGATCACTTGCCTCCTGACAGGTCTTCAGAGAGCTTCACCCCCCAAGGTAGTTAACTTTGAAAAGCTTAGATTGATTACTCAGGTCTCTGCTGAAACCCCAGCTCAGTTTATGGACAGACTCACTGATGCTCTGGTACCCAGAGTCTGCAGAGGGACAGCTTATGCTTCACCACCACTTTATCTTACAATCAGCTCCAGATATTAGAAGGAAACTTAGGTGCTTAGACAAGGGCCCTGAAACCCCCATGAGAGATCTGTTGGACACGGCATTTAAAGTATTTTATAACCGAGAGGAACAGGAGAAGGCAGACAAGCTTACCCTGTCCAAGCAAAAGTACCAGCTTATGGCTGCAGTCCTAAGGGCTCCTCCCAAGAACACTTCGAACACCAACGGGGCCCAACGACATCTGCCAGGACCCTGCTTCAAGTGCGGAGTGACTGGACATTGGGTTAAGACAATGCCCTAACCCACGGCCACCACCCGGACCCTGTCCTTCCTGTGGGCAACAAGGTCACTGGAGAATTGGTTGTCCTTCTTTGCAACGCCACGGAACGCCACTTGCCTCCCAGACCCAGCCTCATTTACAGGGTTCAGTGAATGACCTTCTAGGCCTAGTGGCTGAAGACTGACGACACCCTGGCTTCTTGGCCCCCACCGCTTCTATGACTATCACAATGGAGGAGCCCAGGTTTTCAGCCATGGTGGCGGGTAAGATTATTAATTTCATTATTGACACTGGTACGTCATGGTCAGTTCTCCCTTCCTACTCTGGTAAAGTTTTTCCTTCACAGATCTCTGTGGTGGGGGTTGATGGGAAGCCTCACAACCCCAAATCAACAGGACCCTTAGCCTGTGTATTCTCGAAGGTGCCTTTAACTCACTCCCTCCTGGTTATGCCCACCTGCCCAACCCCCCTACTTGGCAG